GCCTTCCTCCTCCCCCCTCCTCGTCGTCGTCCTTCTCTCCGAGCCTGCGCGTAGCGGGCTTTCTTCCCCCTCCCCTCGGCGCGTTTTGGCCTCCCCACCATTTTGTGCTGTGATCGCAAGGTTAGCTGCTTGATCGTGCTGTGTTCTCCTGTGCGTTCGGGCTTGAGGCGGAATATCGAAGGGGCCTTGATGGCGGAGAGTCAGTCAGCGGCCGGGCTGGGGGAATTCACATCCCTTGGTGGGGCCGCGGCTCTCGGCTCCGAACCCGAAACGACGCGGGAAAAGCGACCTGCGGGCCGAGCTCAAACGCCGTAACCTAGACAGCGGCGGCAACAAGAGCGTTCTCATGGAGCGGCTGAGGAAGGTGAGTCGCAAACCTGGCGGCAGAGGGGGGGCGGGGGAGATGTCATCCGGGTTCTTTGTCCCCGGCCTGAGGGCGCTTGGCGCATGCGCGCTCGGGGTCTTGCCCGGAGTCCCGCGCCGAGGGAGGCCGTGAGGGCAGCGTGAGCTGGGCTGAGGCGCGGCGCCACTTCACTGCTTCCCAGCGCTAGTGCCGGGAGCCGCAGGGTGTTCTTTCGCACCAGTGTGCCCCTTAGCTCCGACCAGTGCAGAAGTGTTGCCCCTGCGGGGAGTGCCGGCAGCCCCGCCGCTGCACTGCTTCTTGCTGCCGCCCTGAACGCCCCGGCGGGGTCCCGCGCCGCTTACTCGCGCTCCGGCGTTGGGCACCCGCGCTACCGCCCGCACCTTCGCCGTTCCCTTGGAGCACTACTCTGATTTCACTCCGCGATGGCCCCGGTCTTTGTCATTCCCTGTCCCTGACGTACGTGCGTCCTTCCCCGATTTCCTCTCCCGTTCCCCCAGCATATACACACACTCCCCTTCCCGGTATCTCTTCTCTTGCTTCCTTTGCACGCAGTTCACCTGACTCCACCTCTCCGGAATGTATTTTCACAGCCTTCCAGGAGGCCGGAACAGCGTAGTCAATCGTGACCCTTTTATGGGTTCCAATAGGCCTGCACATTGAGAAAAACAAATATTGTTGGATGCCCTTGAGTTTCTGTAGCAGTCACTCTCAGCTCTGTACAGTTAAAAGCGCTTGTCTGCTGAGTAGGGAGCCTCGTTTACAGATGAGGGGAACTTTGCTCCTCAGTCGTAGCTTGATGTGGCTGTGGCGTTGTGTAACAACACCTTGCTTTTCAGTGCTTCTGAGGCTGATATGGCTGCCTGGTTGTATGACCTGAACTAGGGTGAGAAGCTAGTGTTCCATCTGACAAATCCTTAAAAATGCTGTCATGGTTTAACCTTAGGTAGTCAACACCACATGGCCAGACACTCGCCCCTCTGCCCCCCAGCAGGATGGGAGGGAGAATTGGAAGGATAAAAGTTAGAGAAAGCTTGTGGATTGAGATAAAGACAGTTTAATAATTTTAAAAATGGAAAGGCAAAAAAAAACAAACAACAGAGAGGAGGAAAAAGAAAAAACACTAAAGAAAAGCAAGTAATGTGAAAGAAAGCAATTGCTCACTGTCAAACGACTGATGCTGAGCCAGTCCCTAAGTAATGACAGCCCCACCGACTTCCACCCGCACCAGTTCTTTTGCCGAGCGTGGTATCATATGGTCTGGAATATCCCTTTGGTCAGTTGGGGTCAGCTGTCCCGGCTGTGTCCCCTCCCAACTTGTACGCCCCCAGCCTGCTCGCTGGCAGGGCAGCATGAGAAGCAGAAAAGGCCTTGGTGCTATGTAAGCACTGCTCAGCAATAACTAAAACATCCTCGTGTTATCAACACTATTCTCAGCACAAATCCAAAACATAACCCCTTACAAGCTACTGTGAAGAAATTTAACTCTATCCTGTCCAAAACCACTACAAATGCACACAAACAATATAATAGATGTCATGCTTCTGTCTCCGATAGGCCATTGAGGATGAAGGAGGAGATCCTGATGAAATTCCTGTGGCCTCAGAACTGACCAATAAGAGAACACCAAAAAGAATTAGCAAAGGTACGGAGTCTAGACAAATACGGTTCCTTTGTTTCCATGTAGCTAGAACTTGGTATACGTTTTTGATTTCTTCTGTTTCGTTAGTTTACTTTTATTTTTAAAATTTGTTTTTTCTTTTTCCCTTGTGGAAAATGGTAAAACTCTGTTGCGTTGGTGAGCGATAAGAAGTTTAAACAATACCGTGACACCTAACTGTACTTCCGTTAGCAATTCTTGAAACCTATAGATCAGACTGTAAGTGCAGATGTTTCTGTGCTTGTGACCATGAATGTAGAATTGTGGCAGGTACAGAGCAGGCAGGTGCAGCATAAGAACCTGTGGAAAGCTCTGCCAATGTATATTAAGGTGGCTCCACAACACCTGAAATACTAATTTCCTTGCCGTAACTGTATACATTCTCCTTTTTTCGTAGAAGCCCCTGAACCTCCATCATCATTTGGATGCATTTTTAAATGCAGGAAATTACTGTAGGAGTAATTAGAACCATTGTTGCACAAATAACAAATGTGTATCACTTTTGTTAGTGTTGTATTTCATTTTATAACTGTTTTGAAAATAAACTGTTCTGAAATAGCTCTTTTGTGATTTAAGTATATTTTGCTTCAAAAACATTAAATATTGAATGGGCCATGTTACATGTGGTTTATTTGAATTGCTCATAGCCAGTTCTTAAAAGATACTTTCTGAAAATTACTTTTAAGCTGCTTCCTTTACGATAACGGGGTGAAAACAGAGACAGAGCAGTTGGTTTTGAATAGTGATACAAGTTCGCGGGTGACAGATGTGTCTAAACGTGATCAGCGTGTCAAAGATCTTAAAAGAAAAGACTAATTCTAAATCAGTTTAATTATTTAAATGGTAAGAGGGAGGGGTTTTGTAACAATGATGAGGTTTCTTTTCAATGGAACACCTTCCTAGACTGTATTGTGTTTTTAGATATTGAAGTGTTGTGGAGTGAGTGGAGTATAGCTGTTGAAAAATGTAGCTGTGCTAGTTTTAGTTCATGCTCATGCTGTTCGCTTGTGTCGAGTGGCAAGTCATCCTCCACTATATTCAGACAGACCCGGACTTCTGAATCAGGGTCTTAATGATTATTTGTTGAAACAAACTCAGTGTTGAATAGATAATTCAGTGAAGAGTGGACATGTGTCGTGGCAACTTCTGCCACCTGGACCTCCCCCCCCGACTTCGAACCATGACATTATGTTACAGAATCTAGTGCTGTATCTCACTTCAGTGATACTATTTTTAGGCAGAAAACCAGAAGAAGAAGGTGTTGAAGACAATGGACTAGAAGAAAACTCTAGAGATGGGCAGGTAAGTGAAATGGTGATTGCTGTTACTAAGAATATGCATTATTTAACCCGCAATAAATACACATCTGCCCTTTTTTCTTTCTGTAGGAGGATATCGAAGCAAGTCTGGATAACTTGCAAGATATTGACATGATGGATATTAGTGTGCTAGATGAGGCTGAAATAGATAACAACAGTGCTGTAGACTGTGGAGAAGACTATAGTCCTGAGAACATTCTTGATTCTCTATCTGATAATAAGGACAATGTTGAAGCAGAAATTAAAGAACTTCCAGATCAGCTAACAGAAAATGAGGTAAGTGAGTAGAGGTCTTTGAAGTTTTCAGAAGGCATTTAATAAGTATATGGGCACATGAAGGAGATATCTCAGTGTGATAGAATATAGGACATGAATGTGATACGGATTCTATTTCACGTTAACAGTTCTCTTGTCCTACTCTTTAAGTAGTAGATGTTCTTGGACCTATCAGAGACTTGAAGTGTTCACAGTAGACAGGTCACAGCCTTCTTTACCTTGCATTAACATGTTTGCTTGCCATGAAAGAAACCTGGAATGGAAAGTAATGTATTAGTTACATTAGTGTTCCTCTTGCCGTTCCAGTGTGTTAAAGCATATATATGCATGTACCCAGCAATCTAGATACTTATGTCTATGGAGAGAGAGAGAAATACATTTTCGACTCTCAGATATGGAAATCTTTTCTGTAGAAACAATGCTTTGGTTTAAAGAATTTATTGTATAATTTTTTCATAAAGGTTAATAAAAAAAGAAAGATCTTTATATATTGTGTATTGCCCTGTTCTTGACATTGCCAGGCTTTTAACTTAGTTTTGAGAGCCGCTTGCAATGTCTCTTGCACACAGCACAGTCTCCTGCTACTGAGTGAACAGGGTAATCTGTATGTTACATTCACTCCCGAAATATGATCCTTCCTTGGATCCTTATAAGTTTTCTTTATCTGAGGCTGTTCGCTCCCAAAACTGAAGGTATTATCCTTCTTTGCCTCCTCATGGTTTTTGTTTTTTGTTTTTAATTTTAGGCCTGTGGTGTCTGCTTCAACTTTTTATCATTTACCTTCTGAAAACAGAGTCATTGCAACAACATCCAGTTAACCTGAAAGGCAATTTTCTTGTGTTCTGTAAATTAGAGCTGTTGTGAGTCATGCACCCGATGATCTTTGGTTGCATCTTATCATCAGCTCTTAAGGAAGGAAGCTTTTGGGGACGTGTTTTATTTTTGGAAAAGTAGAAACCTAGGTCAGCTTCATTTCTAACTTCTTTTTCCAGTTAGAAACCAAAGAAGTAAAAACTGGAAAAATGGAAAAACATGTTATGTACAGTAACCACAAAAATGTGAAATAAATTTTCTCTCTAAATAAGAGTAACTGAAGTAGATGATGTCATGTTGGAATTAAAGTGAAAGTTAACTGGAGAAAGATATTTAATCATCACGAATACTTCTATGTTGCTCCTCATTCTTGGGTCTCAATCTAAAGCAGCAATTGAGATCTGTCAAATGCTGGAAAATAGTGCTCATATTATTGCTAGGGAAAATTGAAGTAGTATTTCTCCAGAAGGTAATGTTACTTTTTGTAAGCAATGCTTTAATTCCTTTTTTACTCTTTTAGGAAGATTATGATGAAATTGAGAACAATTTACACGTCTCTTCTGATTTAATTGAAATGAAGGTAAATAGAAAACGTAACTGTATTTCCGATTCTTATTATCAGTATTGACTGTATGCTTATACTACAAAAAAGAAAACATGACCACAATATGAAATTGTAACAGAATCCAAGACTTATATGATCTTGCTCAGAATACAATCTGTCATAGTGTCACAGAATGGGCTGGGTTGGAAGGGACCTTAAAGACCATCTATTTCGAACCCCCCTGCCATGGGCGGGGGCACCTTCCCCTAGATCGGGTTGCCCAAAGCCTCATCCAGCCTGGCCTTGAACACTTCCAGGGATGGGGCAGCCACAACTTCTCTGGGCAACCTGTTCCATTGCCTCACCACCTGTCAGTGTGAAGAATTTCTTCCTTATCACTAATCGAAATCTGCCTTCTTCCAGTTTAAAGCCATTGCCCCTTGTCCTATCACTACACGCCCTTGCAAAAAGTCCCTCTCCAGCTTTCTGGTAGGCCCCCTTTAGGTACTGGAAGGCTGCTAGAAGGTCTCTGCGGAGCCTTCCAAAAATACTTTATTGGACTCTTTAACATTCCAAGTCAGATAGGAGAATGCAGTTGTGGCTGGTACATTGATTTGGCTTTAATGGGCCAGAAAAATTACCTATATAAAGGACTCGGTTCTAGTGGATGGTGAAAAAAAGTGCTAAATGTAGTAGGTGAATTTGTTTAGTTTTCAATTTTGGAATTGGGCAAGGGCTTGCTATTATTCTGTGGAAAACGAAACAAAACAAAAAACCCCTCAGATTTTATAAAATACTCATTCTGTGTTTATTTTCCCAAACAGAAAATGGAGAAGCTACACTTGGAGCCAGGTACTGTTAAAGAAAAACATGTTCCTGTCTTTTCAACTAATATTTTTAAACCATTAACTATTAAAAAAACAGGCAAACAAACATAATTTGCATTATTTTTATGATGGACAATCCAGATCATGCAGGGTCATAGAGATTGGAAACCCAATCATATCCCCAGATCTGTGAAGTGATGCTTGTCATCTTTGAAATATTTCCAGTGAAATGAAATGGTTTAAAAACCTGTTAAACTACATAAATGGATTTAGAGAAGTTAATCACAGTTTAAAAGCTAAAGATTCTACTTGTAAACAGATCTTGTGATATCGCACACACCTTTACTCTGTTACTAAGTAGAGAGCAGTGAAAGCAGTAAAAAGATATTTTAGGGCATTAAAATTTAAAGATTAGTTACTGGATACAGAAGAAAGAAGAGAGTTTCTTCATGGAAATTGCATACAGATACTTTTCACTTACTGGACTGCAAACACACTCATGCACCATCAGAAGATGCCCAGTTC